ATAGCGAAAACAGACATCGCAAAACCATTGGAATGCATTGAATAGGCTTCAATGCATTCCAATGGGGGAAACATTGTTTCCTTAGCAATGTTTCCTATGGCGATTTTCGCGAAAATTCCGTAATCCGTTCCCATTGGAACGGATTATCCGGTTTTCAATGCATTCCTATGGGAAATGGTGTTTCGCTTAGCAATGTTTTCCCATAGCAATGTTTTTTTGGGAACCAATTAACATTGTTAAGCGAGGCACCGCTGTACTTAAAATACCGGATGAAATTACACATAAGGCCTAAACTATATGAAATGGCAATAATAAACCTGTACTCTTGTGTCTTAATAGTAATACAAAGAATTATTTGCCTTATAGATTCAGCTGAACTTTGCATACTAGTCTACTTCAAAGATCTTTAGTAAGTGTTATTAGGGTAAGAACCCTTAAGTACATAATTCCTCTAAGGAAATGTGAACAGCTGTTAACAGAAAAAAATATGGCTTCCTCATTTGATTACACAGTCTTATTCATTCATTCATTCATTCGTTCGTTCATTCTATTTGTACCCCGCCTATCTGGTCAATACGACCACTCTAGGCATCTTCACCAGGACAAGAAGCATACTTCCAATCTGCTTCTGCCACACCATTGTGGTGCTAATTATTAACTTGATGAATTGCTGGAGGACATTTGCTACTACATTTTTCAATTAACACTTTCAAACTATGCTTATCAATATAGTTTTACTGAAGAGCACGATACCGTGAGAAACAGAACTCTAGTTGTTTCTTTAAACATTCCTTCATGTCTTCTGTAGAAATGGCAGGGCTGCCTTCACCTGAGAAATACATTTGAAGTTATATATAAATTATTAAATGCATTAAGAATTTCTTCCTAGCACCACAGTAAAGAAGACTCTGTTTCTTATTATCACAATATACTATACTCAAGAAAAAGCCTTCCCTGATTACCTTAAAGTACTGACAGGTTGGGAAATGGAGAAATGTTCTAGCAGATAATTGGGTGCCAAACTGATTCTAATTTCAAAAGCCAGCACCAACACCAAAATTAAGTCTCAGAAACAAATTAACAGCCAGTGCTGTTCTTTTAACATCAGCTCAATGTGTTTCCAAGTGGCTGTACCAATTATAGTCCAAAAATGGCCTGGGAGCTAAGGATGAGGAACAAAGCGTTGCCTAAGGAAAACAGTGAGCTGAAATTAGGGTCAGGATTATCAAATTCATAAACCATGCTACTAATCGAAGGAATCATTAAAATCAATGAAGTTTCACTGGATTTTGAGAAGGCACTTAAAAGTAAGAGAATGAAACAGAAAACCTTTAAGGTCAGAAAACAGAAACACACGTTTGAGACCTAGACCCATCCGTGTCAAGACATAACGTCCTGGCATAGTGAATCTCCTCCATGCAACAATGGCTGTACCATATGTACAACTGGAAGGTAGAAACATAAATGACACATAAAATGGGGAAGAAATTGTATGTATATTGCTGATCTAGAGAATTAACACATACAATGTGAAAATCCCAGGGCAATGTTGAGAATTACCTAAAAAGATTTTAGGAGATCTAGTATTGCAGGTTGGAAACTTACCTGAAACATCATAGAGTTGGTATCCAAGTTCCTCATGTGCCAAAACCATCCCATTAGCAGCTGTTTCCTCAATACCTGAACTGTTTCTTGACAGTTCACAAGACGAATACATTGCTTCATACTGTTTGGCATTGTCATCAGCAACCTCGTTACCTGACACAAACAGAGGTGCAATCAGTGAAAAGAAAAATATGAGAAGCATTGAAAGCCTTTGCTTTCCATTCTACTATCTCATAATTCATTGTTACCAATGCTATTTTTTAAAAATCACATGCATATATTTGTATGAGAACATTCCTATATTACTTGCATCTTTAATCCCCTAGTCAATCAACTTACTTTAGACTTACTAGTAGAAGCCACAGCCATATGTTCTGATTATTTCCTCCACTTTGGATTCAAAGTGTATCATTCTACAACAATGACATTACTTTGTCATACAAAACAGCAGGTCTAAACTGTTACTGTAGTCTCAAAACATACTGTAATAAAGTAACTGGTAGATTACTCAGCCTAATACATGCCTTGACCTCGAAGAAGTGATCATCCTTGCCAACTATCAGAAATAAGGAAATACATATGATGGGTTTCTGGGAAAGGAAAATACTATCTCTGATATACACAGACCATATCAATAATATTTGGACAACCATATCTTGTCTAAAGATGTGAAAGAGTCTTCTGCCCATGAAACCAGTAAACAATCCAAAAGACTTCTACTAACAATGGTTTTCCCTTTTATCTAAGTAACAGATCTTAATTTCCCAATTAGGATAATAGAGGAAATTATGCTTCACTGAGGGCATACTAATTTGTGCAGCTTCTTAAAGAAGAAAGGTATCTCATGTATCAATAGAAGCATTTTTCATATCTCAAATTCCAATATGATCATTCCTTTTGTTAAGGCATTAGGTACATTAACACATTATTCAAACAGTCATAATCAGACTTTTAAAGAAGAACACGATAAAGAATTCACAATGTTTAAGGCCTCCTTTTTAGTGATCTTCCCTTGAATTAGAAAATAACCACTGTCTCTGTGGAATATTAGTTTTCAAGTTTATATGGGCCACTAACCTTTTGCATTTAATATGATCAGAAACTTCTACATTGCAAGTATTAATGTAGCTTACCCACAAAATGGTTTGTGTTTCTGGACTCCACAAGTAATTACACTAGTTCAGCAATTGTTAAGAGTTGCTTGCTACTCTGTCAGTTGCAATTCATCTCCTATGTCATTTGCTAGATTTATCATAAGGTCAGGAACAACTCGGATTACCTGAGTTGAATATGGCCCTCAGATCTCATAATCTCACTGTTCACAGGGTCAAGTTTTCACTAAAGTACAGAAATGATGAAGAAAAGGTCCAGACAAGAGTGAGAAAAGTCAACAAAAAAGACAAGAAACAGAAATAGAAAAAGTGTCATTTCTGTACATTTAGAAACTTGTTTCCCTCTTAGCGCGATACTTGGTCATCACTGGGCCTTTGAAACTCTGACAGAGTTTCAGAAACAGTTCTATTTT